CTGCTGAACATGAGACCCCTACAGTGGTGGCTCAAGACCAAGGGGTTTACCCCGAGAGGAAATCCGCTTCACATGATCAAGGTCACACGGCGATGCTTTCGTGTCTTAGACATGTGGAGGAAACCTTGGTTCTTGTCACAGGGCCCGGTGCTGGGAGCTCCTTGTCGTCGCGTAACGTTAACGACGGATGCATCCCTCACCGGTTGGGTTGCAGTCATGAGTGGCCACCCTGCCCGCGGTCTGTGGAGCGACCGCCATCTTAAGTGGCACATCAACTGCCTGGAGATGTTGGCCACGTTTCGAGCACTGAAACACTTCTTCCCAGACCTCAGAGGCCATCATGTGTTGGTGCGCACCGACAACACAGCGGTGGTCTTGTACATCAACCACCAGGGAGGTCTGTGTTTGCGCCACTTGTACAAGCTGGCGCACCAGATCCTTGTGTGGGCCCAAGGAAAACTCCTCTCGCTGAGAGCAGTGCACATCCCTGGGCATCTCAATCAGGGAGCAGACATCCTGTCGAGGCAGGGGCCCGGGCCTGGGGAATGGAGACTCCACCCAGATGTGGTGTGTCAGATTTTGGAGAATGTTTGGCCACGCTCAGGTGGATCTGTTTGCGATTCAGGAGACATTGCACCGTGCCCTCTGGTCCTCTCTGACTCATTCAACAACTGAGGTTGTTGAGACCATCCTCCAATCCAGAGCTCCCTCAACTAGGAAACTCTATGGCCTGAAGTGGAGACTCTTCACTTCTTGGTGCGGAGACTGCCAGCTCGACCCAGTTAGCTGCCCGGTTGGTTCAGTGCTGGAGTTCCTGCAGGCTCGATTCTCTGCGGGGTTGACCCACTCCACCTTGAAGGTGTACGTGGCGGCCATAGCTGCTTACCACGCCCCTCTTGGTGGTCAGTCTGTGGGAAGACACCCCCTGGTTACACGTTTCCTCCACGGTGCGCTGAGGCTAAGGCCTCCGGTACGATCTCGTGTCCCTCTGTGGGATTTGGCTGTGGTGCTAGAGGCTCTCTGCAAACCTCCATTTGAACCACTGGAGGAGGTTTCAGATCGAGTTCTGACACTTAAGACTCACTTCCTATTAGCCATTTCATTGCTGAAAAGAGTAGGAGACCTGCAGGCCCTCTCAGTGGCTAAAGCCAAAGCTTTTCTGTACCCCAGGCCGGGGTACGTCCCTAAAGTGCCCTCCTCTGTACCACGGCCCGTCATACTACAGGCCTTCTGTCCTCCTCCCTTTCGGGACCCTGACCAGCAGAAGCTTAATTGCATGGGCAGTGCGAGCACTGGACACATACGTCCACAGAGCTGCCATGTGGAGGAAGTCTGACCAATAATTTGTTTTCTATGGTCCTTCCAAGAGAGGTCTGCCTGCTATTAAGCAGACCCTCAGTCGGTGGATCGTTGATGCCATCTCTATGTCGTATGAGTCCTCTGGTCTCCCCTCGCCCTTGGGGGTCAAGGCTCACTCTACCCGAAGTGTGGCGGCCTCCAAGGCCTTCCTGTCGGGTGTGGCTATGCAGGATGTTTGTAATGCTGTGGGTTGGTCTACACCGCTCACTTTTGTCAGGTTCTATGACCTCGACGTTCGTACTGCTCCTGGTTCCTCCGTCCTCTTCCTCTCGTAGTTGTGCTACGTACATACACACTACGCAGGGACTTGTTCCTGAAGGGGAACGCCTCAAGGTTATGTATGTAACCCTAGTTCCCCGAGGAAACGAGTGGACGCTGTGTCGCTGTGTCTCCTGCCATACTTCCGGCATCCCTGCGAGCGCTTCCCTCATTATACCAGAAGCTGCCGCTGTTTCCACATGCTTTTATAGCTTCCTGGTCACTACATCACCCCGTCCGTGAAGTCTCACCCGTATATTGGACTGATTACACACGTGATTCAGAGCGTGGTCACGCTGAAAGCCTTCCCAAAGCGTTCGACACAGTGTCTCGTTCTCTTGGGGAACTAGGGATGCATATGTAACCTTGAGGCATTTTTACCTCGAGTTATGAAACTTTGACTCGGAGCAGGACTTAGCAGGGATTCTGTGGTGTCAAACATGTACAGTGTGAAACGATGCTATGTTAAGATGTTATTTCTAGATAATTGGCAACACGCAGTCGCGTGCTTTGGACAGTCACAGAAACACGCGCATTGTATAAACAGTAGTGTCAGCATTTGAGGGGAAAATGGTAAATAGTGGCGGAAAACATGTCAAATCAAGTGAAGAGCTCTTCATTCTTACCTTTAAATTCCAAAACATCTGTTCTGGAAAACTTTAGAGTATAATGCTCACTGCTAGAGCCATTATGTAAACAGGTCGCGAGCTTCGTTCATCCAACGAATATGCAAATAAGAACCTTTACCCAGGGTTTAGGAATGTACACTGCAGTGTGAAACTCGAAGCAAGGTAACCCAGGATTCCGATTACCCGGGGTTTAGAATGATTAAGAGTTAACAATTTCAAGTGTGAAAAGCCGTCTATTCACCTATATTTGTCTGGTTGTGTTGAGAAGTTTCACTGTTGTTGTTGTTTTTATTTATTTATTCATGTTTGCTTGTTTGTTTACAGATTCAATCATTGCTCGCATTTTCAAAGTCATTGAAGAAATTATTCCGTTTAGACAGCCACGTAACAGCACTGATTTGGATGCAGTGAACTGCAACAAGACTTCACAGGATGCATATAATATCACAGCAGACACTGTTCTCTTCCTCAGAGGCCTGCTGGTCACACGCCTCATGCCCTCATTTTACATCATCATCATCCTCATTAGTTTTCCCCTGAATGCTTTGGCCCTAGTGACGTTCACCTGTAAGATTCGACAGAAGAAACCAGCTGTGATCTACATGTCTCACCTGGCATGTGTGGACATGCTCTTTACCCTGCTGCTGCCTCTGAAGATCCACTACCAGCTGAATGCTTCAGATTGGGTGTTCGGTGAGGCGGCGTGTCGTGTGATCAGTGCAGCTTACTACTGCTACATGTACTGCTCCATACTGCTGATGATGAGCATGAGTGTGGACAGGCTGCTGGCCGTGGTGTTTCCCATCGCCTCTCTGACCTGGAGGAGCGCAAGGAAAGCTACATGTAAGTGTGTGCTGGTCTGGCTGCTGGCGCTCGCTGGTACAGTGCCACTTCTCTTCATAACACAAACATTCAAGATAAAGGATGTGGGCATCACCTGCCATGATGTGCTGTATCACACACAGGTGTATGCATACCTGTTCTCCATCCTCTCCTGCCTCTACTTCTTCTTGCCTCTGGTCATCACCTTAGTGAGTTACTCTACCATAATATATGTGCTCACTACCAAGAATGATCACTTGGCAACATCATACCCAGACAAGCGAAGGAGAGCTGTGATTATGGCTATCGGTGTGCTGAGTGAGTTTGTAATGTGCTTTGCACCAACAAATGGCATCTTGTTGTACCACTGTGTTCGTTTAGCCACTGGAAGCAGCAGTGAGGAGGGGAAACACTACCTGATGGCTGTGTGTTTGGGGAGCGCAAGTGTTTTTCTGGACCCTCTGTTATATTACTATGGCTCGTCTCAATGCAGACAGCAGATCAGCTCTCTGATCTGGTGGAGGAAGACAAAAAGCACAACCACACCATCAAACACAAACAGTCAAACAAAATCCTCCAACCTGAGCTGCGAGTACAGTCAGGCTTGCGTTCAGGTGTGAATTGATGGTGATTATTTTGTTCTAAAGATTCAGTTGTGAATGCATTGTCTGTATTGCACAAATAATTGCTGTTTTACAGGTTCACTTAACTGTATTCAAGTGCCAGTTTTGGAATGATATGACTGGAATGATATGTTTATTTTTAATGTGTGTCTGTGCATATGTATATACATATATATAGAACCTATAGCGTATATACATTCATATTGTGCCTTTGAAGCTTGAACACATTGTATTTTTAACACAACATTTAAATGCATTTAGTTTGTATCTCAAAAATGAAGGTGTTTCTGAAGCCATGTTGCAATATGTAAATATGCATTCTGTTGCAATGCTGAAAAGTGTAACTTCCCCATTTATAATCTGCTGTACTTAAAATGTGTATAAAAGTGAAGATAAAAGAGTAAAAAAAAAATACAACAAAACATGAGAGTTCTCATTTCATAAATGTCATATTTTAGAATACAGCCAACAATAGTGCACTGAATAGTGTAATATTTACTTACAGCCAATGCATCATATTGGTTGGCAGTGATGAATGTTTATCAAGATGCACGCGTGCAGCCTGTAAACGACTGTGTGCTGGAGCAACCTTAAGGAATGATATGGACTAATGAACAACAACAAAGTAATTTTAAGGGTTAGTTCACCCCAAAATGAAAATTATGTCATTAATTACTCACCCTCATGTCGTTCCAAACCCGTTAGACCTTCGTTCATCTTTGGAACACAAATTAAGATATTTTTGATGAAATGTGAGAGCTCTCTGACCCTCCATAGACAGCAACGCAACTGTAATGTTCCCAGGTCCAGAAACGTAGTAAGGACATCAGTAAAACAGTCCATGTGACATTAGTGGCTCAACTTCAGTTTTGCGAAGCTACTAGAATGCTTTTTAAGCGCAAAGAAAACAAAAATTCTTCTCCCCCGAGTTACGTCTTTCGCCATTGTGGAGAGTACCCAATAACATAATCAACATAATCAGCATTGTTTACGTTCTGGGGGAAAGCACGTGCATGAACGTAATCTGCGTATTCAGCATTGTTTATGCTTAGGGGAAAGCATGCTCTCTAACATGGCGGAAGACTGCAACTCGGGGGAGTAGAATTGTTGAATAAATTATGCTATTTTTGTTTTCTTTGCACTCAAAAAGTATTCTCGTAGCTTCGCAAAACTAAAGTTGAGCCACTGATGTCACATGGACTGTTTTACCGATGTCCTTATTACGTTTCTGGACCTGGGAACATTACAGTTGCGTTGCTGTCTATGCAGGGTCTGAGAGCTCTCAGATTCCATCAAAAATATCTTAATT